TGAGACAGATAATGAAATGGTGGAACAAGTAACATCGATACGGGTACGAAGTGCGGTACTACAGAAGTAAACGTACAATAAAACAGGGATGACTTATCATTCGTGTGTGTTGTACACATACAGTCTTCTGCATGGTTGATAGGGCTTACAACTAACAGAGGTCACAGTGTGTGGATGCGACGGAATATTAACTGCGGTCTCCGTGCCGCATCTTAAGCCTAAAGCGGGCCGATCGTCTCCTGTCCGAGGTATTTGCGGATTCCCGAAGGATGTCTGTTGCTCTAATGCAAGCCTCGACAAGTGGTAATATCATCCATTCTCTGATGGCCTCTTTGGTGCAACCACCGCAATAGTACAGCGAATAAGTACCCGATGCTCAGTGTCAAACACTGCTTTCGAACAGATATTCTAACTGTTTAACAATTTTCCAAAAAGTTGCATGGCTGCCATCGAAGTACTCTTACTCAACCTTCGGCCGATCTGTCTGTGTACCCAGTGGCGGTAAGCTATTTAAGAAACATGTGATCGTACATCACGTGTGCAGCAATTCGGAACACTTCAACAATTGCACCTGTGCGCTGATTCACCTCCGATCATATATATCTATGCACTAACATACCATCACAGTTCGCCTGACCTTCTTCTAAGTTTACTCGAATATTGACTATTTCTACTTCAACTTCTAACATGCGCATCTACGTTTCCCCCTGTAACCCCGGCTCAGCTAAGTTAAATTCAGTGGACGGAACGGGAAATGTTGCTATGCTCGCTCTCTTGACTAACATGTGAACCAGAGCATGAAGCGTCTACATCATGATAATCACCAGTTGATCACCCAGGTCGTTCGCTTTTCACGGATTTTCTAGAGTGCTTTTTCTTGGGATGCAAGTTCAACATGCCATGTACTCCAGATTACGAATATTACGTCAAAGCGCGAAAGCGTTGCTTTTGGGTACTGTAAGGGGCAAAGTACTTAGAGGCTTTGATCAATGTGTGTTCATCGGACTCGAAACAACTGGGACAAAACTGGATAGCATACACAACAATTCGCGAGTATAGCACAGATCCGTATCAACAACTTGCATCCCACGAAAAGCCTAGCAAAATGGCCTCACCTGACGCATGTGCACATGCCTAGTGCGCGGATGTGCTCATTGGTTCTCGGCACTCGAAGAGACAGACTGCAACCTGGCGCCCGCTTTCTCAAACGCAGCAGTGGTCCTACCTTGACAGGGGAAGCGTAACAGACTGCCGATCTTACTGGTCAACTTGTCGAAGGATTGCCCGACCGAATTTCACATATTTACGAAATCCCACAATCTTGACCAAGCACCAACATTCACTGTAAACACTGCTTGGTTCAGCTTCTGACGATGACTGATTCACAATGAGCGCGCGTTGAATATGCCTTAGTTTCTGCCAGTACCGATGGTTGGGGCCTCTTCCGTCACCCACCGAAGCGCTGCATCTCCGCTATCTCCTTGTCGTTGGTGGACGGACGCTGCTCGGACCCGACTGACGCCAGTTGTAGTGAAAAGTTCCAATCTCTTGGTCGAGAATTGTGCAGGAGTTTACAAAAAAAACCTTAAGCCTGGTGGTGTGAATGTGCTAAAGAAATGGAACTTGCTTATCTCTGGTAGCACCAGAAAACTGTAAGCGGCCTGGTTGATTTGATGACAACAATGCGACGATTGGTGTATTGGTGTCGGGGGAGAACGCAGCATTTGCTGCACATGTGGCAGACCCCAGTGACCTGGGGAAGAATAGTCCGTTTCGCAAACTTCGACGGCGACTGACCCCAGGGCTCCATCGCATTAAAAACGCATAGTGGACGGAGAAGACGAAGGCAGATTGAATGCTACGTCGAACGCCGCCAACACAAGGAATTCTTTGACTCCTTGAAAGCGGTGTATGGGTCGAGATTGGAGCCGGTGAGGACGCTGATCAGTGGTAGTTCAGGCGCTACCTGCACACAGACTGCAGACATAATGCAGATCTGGCGGAAACACTTTGACTGTCTCTTGAACAACCATTCAGAGATCGACTGACCTACATTGAACGGCCTCAAGCAGCAAGATATGAAGGCGAGCCTGGCGGACACGCCGACACTGAATGAGACGCAGAGAGCACTTGCTCAGCTGCGAAACGGCAAGTGTGCTGGGGCCGACGGGATCCCGCCTGAAGTATTGAAACACGGCGGACCCGCGTTGTTGACTGCGCTGCACCAGTTGATGCGACACGTATGGATTGAGGAGGAGGTGCCTCCTGTGCTGAAGGACGCCCTTGTTCTACCACTGTACAAGGGTAAAGGGAGAAAGCAATGTTACACAAATTATCGTGGCATCAACTTGCTGAGTTGTATGGGCTGTGTGATTGTCCGAATCCTGCACAACCGCCTCATCAGCCAGGTTGTGGAACCCAACGTGGCGGAAGAGCAGTGTGGATTCCGTTCGGGTCGCAGCACTATAGATATAGTGTTTGCGGCTCGTCAGTTGCAGGAGAAGTGCAGAGAACGACTCCATCCCTTGTACTCGCTTTTTGTTAATTTCACCAAGGCATTTGATACGGTGAACCGCGAGGCATTGTGGCTGGTGTTGGGTAAGTTTGGTTGCCCGCGTAAGTTCGTAAGTTTAACTGAATGTCTGCACAGTGGTATGCGAGCGAGGGTGCAGCTGAGTGGAGAGATCTCGGATGACTTTGCAGTTATCTCTGGTGTGATGTAAGGCTGTATGTGTGTCTTAGCTCCTGCCCTGTTTAATATATATCTTCATGCAATGTTGTCCTGTGCTTTTGAATCGGCTTGTGCTTACGGTGTTCGTGTGGAGCACCGTATTGTTGGTGGGTTGCTGAACATCCGTTTCGGTGCGAGAAACCTAGTCTGTGAGACAACTATCCGTATGTTGCTGTTTGCTGACGACTGTGCGTTGTTTGCACACAGCGCGGATGAGTTGCAGCATGTGACTAGTGCTCTGACTTCGACAGCGGCCAAATTCGGGCTCATCATCAACACAAGTAAAACTGCCTGTATCCTTCACCGGAGGTGCGATCTTCAATATTGCCGCGAATCAGCATTGATGATGAAGTATTGGAAACCACCTCACGCTTCTGCTACCTTGGGAGGGTGATGTCGACTGATCAGCAGCTACACAGTGAGTTGCGTATCCGCGTGTCGAAGGCAGCGGCGGCATTCGGGAAGCTAGAGTACCGAGTGTGGAACAACCATCAGCTTACGGTTGGCACGAAGCTGATGGTGTACAAATCCATGGTGCTGTCCGTTCTGCTATACGGCAGTGAAAAGTGGGCGATGTACCGGCGGGATGTGCGATATCTCGAGCGGTTCCATCAGCAGTGCTTGCGACGAATTTTGCACATCGGTTGGGGCGACAGAGTTGCTGACACAGAAGTGGGATGTATGCAGTGGACTGCATACTTTTACTGAGACACCCGTGGTGGCTCGGTCATGTGAGCCGTATTGGTTCAACGCGGATACCGAGGCAGCTCTTATACGGTCAGCTGAGTATTGGGAAGCGACACGTGGGGAAACCAAAGTTACGTTACCAGGACATGATCAAAGTGAGCCTTTCACGTTCTAATCTTGATTGCAGGTCATGGGAATCGAAGGCGGTAGATCGACGTGCATGGCGCGATCTGATCACGGACGCAGTTTCGAAGTGCGGGAGAAATACCTCATACATGCAGAGAAGAAGCGGCAAGTGCGGAAGCGGCAAGCACCGATGGGTTGTTCTCCATCGACATCAAGCACATGTTGCTGTGTCACATGCGGTCGCGAGTGGCTGAGTCAGGCAGGCCTAGTTAGCCATGAGCGAGGCCACTCGGGACCACTAGCGAAGCGACGACGGGTCCTGCAGAGAACGTAGGCAGAACTGGCGCAGCGTTTGTAGGTACGCTGTATTCAATTTACTAACCGCGTGCTTGGATGCTGGGTCTCTTTATTTCAGGTGGTGGGTTTTCAGTTTTGTCCTGATGCTTTTGTTTCTCATGTAAATGTCTACCTTACTCTCTTCTATAAACTTGCACGCGTCGCTTAAGCCAATTGTAGTTAATTTCGATAACATTTTCGTGTTTGTGGCATTTCCGTAAAATATACTTTCCGACATCGTGAACTTATCTCATTCGTTTGTAAACAACTTATTTCATATGTTCATTAATTTAAGATTTATGTCAACGTTTCCTTATGCATTGCTCGATTTATTTTCTTTGTTAGCTTTCTCGCAAGTGATTGGCCGTTGCTTGATATCCCCGGTGTGGCTGCGCTTGATGTGCATGTTGACAAGGTGCCTACCTGTCTATTACCCACTACCTCGTCCATGCTGGCTCTAGGAGACAGTTGGTCGTTGCTGGTTGGGACAGGGTGCACGGTTCTTGTGACCGTGTTAGGATCAAGGAGTGGTTCCATGCATTCAGTGTGGAGCGGACTACGGTCCAGCCACCTCATTGTGTGCGCTTGATTTCCCAAATACAGCGTGCTTGTGTTTGCCTGTGAAGGAGTGTGGGTCGGCTCCATTGGTGAAACGTTGCTCCAATCCGCATGCCTCCCGGTCTTATTCCTTCGGGTTTACACTGGATATGGGGTGTTTGGGTGATGCAGCGCAAGTCACCCGTGGTCCCTCTGTAGGTGCAGGCGTCTTGTGGCTGGTCGCAGTGACAGGCAAATCCGAAACCGGATGCCGCCGACTATATTACGGCACTGCGTAATGCTTCCGGTCACTCGCCGACTTTGCATGAAGCAGCCTTTTGTATTATTTGCTCGTACGCACAACCGGTTACTGGTTTTGAGTACGTAATTTCATCTCTAACGGTTTTGTGCCTTTTGGTCTCATTCACATCGTCTAGGTAGGCGAACTGATCGTTTGTTATGGTGGTGCTTCTGTCCTTACTATTGACGATATCCGGCTTTAATGTTATTGTAGATGCCTTTCTTTGCCTACCTCGATCATCATCCAAATTAGTGTCTTCTGTTTTATCATTCTCTTCCGCAGGATTTGTTCTTCTGTTCACGCTACCCAGAGTTTACTATTTGAATCAGGTGAGTTTATATTTCGGCTTCGACTATTTCTTTTCTGTGCTAACACTTTGACGCATTGCCTATCTCGTGGGAACCCTGAAATAGCACTCCGATGCGCTCACATTATTGTTTGCAAGTTCGCTGAGTCTCTCTCCATAGTTACTATACCTCTTGGTGACTTCTTGATGATGATGATGTCACTGACGGAGTCTAACTAATGTGACCGTGGAATCTTTGTTGATAATCGCCGCATCACATTCGCTCATCGATGCGATTCCCATGTGGTTTGAACTGGCTTTTTTATATTCGCTCCATCGACACCCATCGGTACTCACGCGCGCACTCCGAACACCTGCATTCTTCTTCTCTGCTGACCATCAAGCCACTCAGGGCATTGAATGAAACGCTGAGTGAATGTCTCCACCTTCTGTGTCGATGGTCTCAGCCCCTTGGTCTTATGTTCTATTGCTTCCTTCTGCTACGAATTGACCTTTTCTCCCGTCACTGCCAGTGCCACTGCGCCTGTCTATCATGTATTGACCCTTTGTTCATGAATCTCTCCTTGCGTTCCGTGTGTCGTTGTCTCATACATTCTAGATATGTACCCATTGCGACACAAGTTGCGTTTGATTAGGAAATCACTACCGGAATAAATTCCACTCACTTGATAGTCTAATACGCTACGAGTGATTTCATATCCTTTTGAGTGATCTCGCTCACACCAATGTGCCATAGGACTGATATTTCGGCCCGTCTAATTTATTGATGATAATTTTCTCTTGTTCTCGCGACGTTTGAAATAGCGTGCTACACTGCGTCTGTTCGGAAATTCTTTGTCGCAGACGAACTAGAATGGCCGGAATTACACCACGCAGACCGAAACCAGTATCCCTTACTTTGTACTCTAAGTGAAGGTGGCTTTTGAAGTTTGGTCTCCTTCCTTCATTAGGCTTGTTTCTTGTCATGCAGAGCTGTCATTTGCTGGATTCGCTTAACTCTTGCGATCGGCGCAACCTGTGCCAGTACTAGAACAGCCGCTGATTTACTGGCAAATACGGTGGGAGGTGCGAAACCAAGGTGTTCGCATGCTCCGCGCTTGAAATGAACGACTGTCCGTCCAGGCTCTCTAAGACCGGTTAGTCGCTAGCCGGTTTCAATTGACGTTTCAAGTAGGAAAATAATCTTTTCGGGGAGGTTGCGGCCGAGGCTGCCATCTGCTCTTTGAACTGCCGGCGTTTCTTGATCTTCGGCATTACATATGTTACGCCGTTTCTTGTACAGCGTGTAATCTTTATCACAACCCAAGATGATGTATCTCTCACAAAGTTTACAACGCCGTCGCGCTAACTGTTTGTCTTCCTTATCAAACAATGCCGTTTGACAGATCCAACTTTTGAATACCTTAGAGGAACGAACCGAGTACACAGCGAGTTAAGCTTCCGCTTCATTAGTGACCAACAGGCCTCAAAGGACGCATCATGTGGTAGTGTCCAATCAGTCTGACGTGTGGTTTGGACTAACCCGTTGAAGTCCGTCTTCCAATAGTTCAATGTCGACTTCCGTTGGTTGTAATAGGTTAACGGCAGTCTTATGCTTGCCACAGTGGAACAGTGGTCACTGTTCACTAGAAGTTCGAGGAATCTGACCTCGTTCAGACTCTGCTCGCAGTTCGTAAACATTAGGTGCAAACACGATGCCGGTTGTGGTTATACGCGTCGGTTTAACGATAAGTTGCGTTGCCCCAATTTCAATAGTCATTTTGGTGAATTAAGCCTCAACGTTGCCATGACCGGGAAGAAGCCGAGCGTCTGGCCAGAGTATCCTAAGGAAATTTAGGTCCCGCATCAGTAGAAATTGTGGGCAGCTCATATCCTTTTGTACATGTGGTTGCCAATCGTTCCAACGGCTTAATGGGCTACGATAGATAACACCTACTATTAGTTCTGCGTGTCTGAAGCGGATCGAGCACTACCGTTGCTCGCACACGTTATTCTCGCTCTGATAGGCGCTGATAAGTTTGCCAGATAGTGGCATTTTGATGTACAACAGAACACCACCGTGAACCTTTGATTTTCGGTTGCATCGGAAACAAGAGTATCCTGGCAAGTCGACTTCCTGTGGCATGACGTCGGAGTTCAACCAAGTCTCTGCATGTCCTAAGACGTCCGGCCTCTCCGAGATAGTGAGGCGGGACAATTAACGTTTATTCATTAGGCTGCACACGTTGGCGAATGCCACACGGAGGTCCTGTGAGGTACCGCGTGACGTGCCTGAAGGTTGAGCAACCAGCTGACACAGGTTCGTACACCCTTCCTGATCACCCGAAAGTTTACGATGGTTAAGTCAGTCTCATCTTCTTTACGGCGTTTGAGCTCAAGGACCATTGTCTTCAAGCGATCCCTGTCTTCGGGTTCCGAGTCTCGGCGGAGGTGAACCTTTATGCCTTTCAGCGTTGACAGACGAGACAGTATGAGTTGCGATATGTTGCAATTTGCATATATGATTCCCAGAAGTCGACATGGCTAGTTAGTTTGCTGGCGAAGTCGGACTACTTGTTTACTCGTCACACTGTCTTCACCCACATTCAAGTCTATCGATGAGCCCTTGTGGGAACTCTACATCGTGATCATAACGTATCCGAGGCTTTTCATCTTTTGACTCTGGTGCGTGAAAGATCATGAGATTACGACACCTCAGCGAAATCGGTGATGAACCTGTGGGCGTAGGATTAAAGGCGCTTATCGGTTTGGGTTGTTGTTTACCATCAAGAGGCGCCTGGAACTCGGTTACGTGGCACCTTACGCTTTTGTAGGGTCCATGGATCGTCGGAGTTCAGAGGTTCCCAGACAGGCTCCGAGAAATTCATGGACCGATCAGTGAAGCTGCATTTCGGATGTTTCGAGTTTGAGTCCACAATCCGTGGGGGACATTGAACCTGAGATACGGCCGGGGTCGAAGACACTGGTGATGGTACAGATCGCGGTGTGTTTTATAAGATCTGCCGCCGGAACTGCGACAAAGACCCAGGGACAGCCTAGCCATTCCTCGCCACGATCAGAACTCCTTGATGTCAGTGTATATGGATGCTGAGAACCACCAATTCAAGCTGAAGCACACCGAAAGCCAGCAAGTGTGTAAGTTCATTGAAGCCTGGCATTCAAAGCAGAACTCAATCAATGGGCACTTGGAACTTGAAGTCGCTTAGAAGGCACTGCGAACCAGGCCCCTGAAGCCGCACTGATGACGTCGCCTTGTCTCGCAAGGAAATGTCTGCAAACTAATCACTCAGCTCTGAGAAAAGTTCCAAATCCGCAATCACACCCCGAGCTACGGATATTCTCATCTATTTCAAATAATATTATTGGCACAATATAAATTTGAGTGACTGGGCCCATCGCACCTTGGTGGGCGGATCGTGGTCGATCGATAAAACAAACGATTCACCTGGTCGATTCTGCCAACCAGGTCAATAATAGTTCATACATCTGGTTTAGTTTTTGTCTCAGCTGTCGTCCGTGCGGTAGATCTAATTACGCTAGTCTATGCAGTTGTGGTGTTACGGTACTCAGCAACACTAGAAACAGTCAGACATATTTTTAATGGTATGGGAATTATGTAAAGGTACGACTGAGAGATAGTGATGAGGGTAGCAGAGTGCGAGACCATCACCGACTGTACCATGCCCAGTAGGGCTTCTGATTCGGCCGGTTTCGGGGAACATCCTGGAAGATAGTATGCAATATTCCGATATGGAGTGTACGCCACATTTGTGACCTAACGGATAGTGGTTGTGCTTAATCAGTGACTGTGAACTGAATCTATCTTACCAACATTTATGTTGTGTCTAACATTTTGTTTCTTTCCACATATTCTTGTACAAACCTGAAGAGGAATTATTATTATGTTTGCTTGCATCGACTTTTAAATATTCCGATATATCATTCCGATCAATTCCCTTCTGATCGCTCGACACGTAGCCAATATCTGTACCAGTGTGCTTTTATGACGAAAATCAAGTGACTGTTATCACCATTATTCTCACTGTGATCGCACAAAGTACGGGCGTTTGCGCGTGCACCGGTGTTCAAATATGATCAGTCTCTTGTGTTCTCAGCACACTAGTTCCATTGAACCGTTGTGTGCTCCACTTCCTAGGTATGAATTAGCACCACATCATCTTCGTGAATGATCACGTCTTTGAAAAGTATCATTAGATTCCCTTCCTCTACAATGATCCAACCGTTTTGGGATAAGTGAACCGAACGACCAGTTTGAGTGATTGCTCTGTGATGAAACCAATTTGTAGCAAGTGTGCACTGTTACTTTGCTCTTAGAAGACATGAAGCACATTCTAGTTTATCAAAAATGACAGCTATGGTTAGTCCTATATGTTGCTGCCTTTGCTCGGGAGTTGAGTAGCGAACGACAGTGTAACCTAGCAGGACCTAGTTGATTTCTTGCGTGCTACTTTCACTGTGGAACAGTGCGCACTTTGGAAGCTACACTGTCCGTGTAACAAAAAGCATTTATTATTATTATTCTCACTTCAAAAGGTTAGATTTCCAAGAAATATTCGATTGTTGATCCTTTCGTAGCTCAGCGGAGTATTCGCTTCCGTATCACATACCCGGTGTAAGAATCCTTTGTTTGCCTTCGCTGCCTCTGGTCGGACGAAGTCCCGAAGTGGTTTACCTGTGAAATGAACTAAAGACGTTCAAAGCTTGGTCTCGCTGGGTAGCACTGTTTTTCTGAAAGATGACTTCGGAATCGGCCACGACTTATCTGGACCTCTTGCTTCCAGCAATTAAGCTTGAAATTAGATCGCGATTTTTCCTTCCAACTTTTTCATTGGAGTTGTATCTGTAGGTATGTTCTCGTTTTCACTGGCTCTTTGCTGCCATTACTCTCCGAATTCGAAGAACTGCATTCATCGCACTTCAGTGCTCCACCTACTGCCATGCACTGTGTGCATGAATAATTCAACCCATCATTCAAACCGCCTTCCGTCCCCACTTTGTTCCACTAACCAACACACGCACTCTAAACGAAAATTTGTTCCATGCGTCCCGCGAACTTCTGACAATATTGAGGCATCCACAGTTCATTTCCTCTTGCTTTGTAACAGGTCGTTTTGTTATCTGTCTACTTATTTCCTATATTTTTCAGAAGCAGTTTGACTCATGCTACTCTGCGCTAACGCAACGTGCTTCGGCTTTGCGGAAGAAGTATGTTTGGTCTCGAGAATTCTATTCTCTCACTATTATACATTCTCAAAATCATTTCATGGTCCAATTTACTTTGCCCCATTTGTTTTCTTTTTAGGATGCAACCAGTACTGGAAAAGATTCCTGGATACGGAAAATGAACCCCACCCCCTTCTTCCATTCAGTTTCCCTCGTCGTCCGGTACCGCGCTTCATCCGACTTAATCACTTCTATTTGCTGCTTTAGCCTTTTCCTCCTATGTCTTTATTCGTCATTACCTAACGCTGCATCTCTGCCGCTTTCTTTCTGACTCATCATCCCGCTGTCCAGTCCATGTGACCTGCTTAACCTTTCGTTTTGTCGTTAGGATCGATCATGTTCCCGCATGTGGCAAGTGGAACGCAATACAGTACTTCGTTCATTTTCTATGTGATTCATTAACAGAGTATGCTACTAACTTTCGACGCCTTCCGATGACCTTCTCAGGGCAACCTATAGAATCAAGGCGGACTTACGTTTGGCAACAACAAGAACCACAAGATGATTATACTCCACACGGTTATTCTCATATAGTACGAGTTGGTTTATCGCCGCTCACATTAATAAAATTCGTTTAGCCTAGCCCTAAGCCCAAAGGGCCACGACTGCCGTCGCGTCATACCTTAGTCTTAAACGTATTCCTTTGGACATACCGGCTACCGTGAGCGACAACTTTTATCCCGTTCTTGTTACATGCGCACACTGCACACGGACCAGCAGTATCGGGTTTGGTGTATCCTCGAGTGGGTCTCGGTGTGGTAGCGCGGAGGAGTGACCGGAGCACAACTACAGCTTGGATTTTATGTGCCTCATCAGCGATCACTGACGACCGTAATCTGTTCGTTTCACCTAGTCGGTTCACGGTCGCAGTTTCATCATTAACCAAGCGCACTCGGTGTGTGCGAAGTGCACTGCACGTTTTTCCGTCTTTCATCTTAACTGAGCAACCTTGAATGCACTGATCACATTTGCCAATGCGATTATTTCTCAGAACATCAGACATTCTGTCTACAGACCAGCGTCTTCATGGAATCAACAACTCACATTGTGACCCTAAACGATCAACCAATCAAAACTCCAATGTCCAGAGCTCAATACGTATGGACAGATGGAACCTTCAGAGGATGAATCGTCTCGCGTCACAGACGGTGCGCCATTGATTAGTGTATTCGGAATGTTCTCAGGTTGCCCGGATCTAGGCAGTTGTCATGCGGTCTTGGACGCTGAGACGACGTGCTACACGTCAGATCGCACTGGGCTGATGGCCGCTGGTGCGCAATCCTAGGATGGTTTCTCTACACCGCGACTACATTGTTTGGGCGATGGATAACAATACTCACGTGGGGGTTATGCGTCATGTTCGTAAAATGAAGGGGGGGCTTATCTTGGCACTCCTGTATTCATCATAGACTATTGAGTCACGGCAACCAAGGTTTATGTGATATCTGTCTATTTTGAATATGTAACCAATAAGCAATGACAGTGGACTGCGCATAAAGAGCGTGACTAAGATCTACCGAAATCACAAAGGTGAAGTTCAATGTGGCGGATAAAAACCGGGCCCAGGACGCGTCACTGGGGCTTCGTATGGTGAAAGCTCAAAATGAATGATTAAAGGGTCTCTACTAAAACAAAAATTACAATGTGTAAGAGGCATGATTTGGAAGCGAGAGCTGTACAGAATAAGTCAATTTCCTGACGTTCGTCGATCCAATCGTCGTTGAGAAACTGAGTTATTCAAAGTTAAAATGAACAAGCAAGGATTGTAGCATTGTTGTACGGCTTTTGGGCGACAGAGTTACCGACACTCAGTAAAATCCTGAACGGTTACTCTGTTTCTGGAGGTTCAGCTTCTTCCCCATTAATCTCGTCTTGTTCCACAGGTCCGTTTAGCCCACGGCTCGCGTTTTGTTCCCCAGTGTTACTCGTCGGCACTTCAACACAATTTACGTCTGAGCTTGTCTCGAGAGTGTGCGTGGAGTGCTGGTCATCTTCGACTGCATGTGGAAATTGAATGGGAATTTTGGCATCAAGTTGGTATCACAAACATGCAGCTTTTTTGATAAATTATAATGGGTTCAAAATTCAACTTACGAGACTTATCTCTAAATGAGTGCGCATACTCAGATGTACGCAGACATGGAGAATTTCTGGTGCCATATTTGAGGACCGGAAAGAAACATGGTGGATGAACGGCCCATAAGACGCATACTAGTCAACCTTGCGGTGCAAAATGCTCATTGATGAATGGCCGGCTGGGTTTAAATGCTTAACTTTGGAAAGCCATCGGTGGCCTTGGCTACAATTGTGCAACTATGCATTTATTGTTTCTGTCCTGATAGAGACAGTCACCACATTCCAAGATTACGCCTTTACAAATGCAAACATTGTTCCAAATAAGGTTTTCACCCATTTGTCTCGTTAGTTGTTGAGTCACTGGCTGTTTGTGTTCGCATTTAGGAAGCATCACTAGTCCGTTCCGGGCAAGCTTTCGCTTGTTAAACCATCGAAAGCTCACCTATTCCCGACTATCCATTTCTCAGTACTCGTGCCCCTGTGGGTCACGCAGCTTTTCGGCCATCCCGAATGGTCCACGAGAATATAGTTGATAGTACTTCTATGAAGGTTTTCCGATAGCTCCGCCGATGCTCGTCTTTATGAAACAAACACGGTGCCAAGGGCGCGTTCGAAAGCCAGTTGCGATATTCCGGTGTGTTCACTCGTTACTAGAAGATGCCTAGATTACACTACATGGGCGATATGTACCGTCCATCTCAACCTAGATTTGTTTACACAGGAACAGCGCATCTAAAGCATTTCCCTCCTCTGGCCCGATCAGCGCAAGTTAATCATCCGTGACTTGCTACACTTCGGCTGTAGCGGGTACACAGACACTACCGATCGCATTGGTTATGTAGGGCATGAATTAAGTGAACCTATTTTAGGTACGCCGGACGGTCTGTGCCAGTTCCAATAACCTTATAGTATTTCCTCATGGGAGTCTGCAGGCTTAAAGTATGTCAAAAAAGAATCCTGGTATGTACGAAATCCTCTTCTTCATTGACTGGGTAACTGGAAGAGCCTTGTAATGAATGATCAATCTAGCTATCATATAGATATCTCACCTTTTGTGGACAACACATCGTGTCGAATGAGAGCTCGTGTTTTGGCACTTTCAGTGAAATACAGCGCTGATCAAACCCCTCACGATCCTATAACTTTGCGGTGGTTATGGCTGCCGCTTAGAATCATGGTCGTGAATGTGGGATCGATTCGAGGTATCGTGCGTCATTAACAACGCAAAGGTGACATCACACTCAGCTGTAACGGCGCTCATGTCCTTTGAACAGCCCTGACCTACTCATTGGTGGACACTTGTGTACTTCATTCACTTTAGCCCCCTCAAATATAGGGTACTTTCAATACTAATGGATATCCCTTTAGACCAGGGATGTCCAAGTCCGGCCCGCGTTAACATTTCAACTGGTCCGTGGCCTCATCGTGAAGTAATAAATTTAGGCTTATATATTTTTCGTACATCTGTAGTTTTTGTTATTATCCTAATATCAGATTAAATATGGCCCCACATATTTTTACCTCACAAAATGTGCCCTCGTTGCAAAAAAAATTTGGGCACTCCTGCTCTGGACGATTACTTAAGAGAGTTCAACCAGGCGGTTGGTGGCGGTCGTGGCTACCCAGACAAGCATGAACAATGCTCGCCGAACTGCTGATGCAAAGAAGATATCACCCTTTTTGTCACGCAGATACACTGTGACATTGATTCCTTTTTACTCTATGAAAAATATGCATAGATCAGCTGTTCTTATACATCCACACCTTTAGCACAGCTGATGCGGCAGATTTGCTGCATCTTTAACTCGAACCCTTCATAACCGATGAGATCCGGTCATCCGAACTGCATACATGCAGAAGCCGCACATTCGGCTGGTTGCTGGTCACAATCGCCTGTGGTCTAGCACTTGAAATGTGTAGCCAACGAGCTACGCAATCGGTAAGTTTTCTATCCAAACAGTCTTCGGCGTCTTGTTATACGCCGGGATGTTTCTAGTGCTCCATGTGGTGCTTGCATTGTGCCTGAGCGGTGGGGAGGTGTAAGTGAAAGGATTCTGCGCTGGTGTGGGAAGGTTGCGTCACGTAGCCTGAAGTTCGCTTCGGAATCTGTCCAGTCATCAGCTAGAGCCGTAAATTAGTGCTCCTATAGTCTGTACTCAACGCGAACTTGCTTGATACCCCATTCCCAACTCCGTCTGTAGCTACACTAGTTTTCGTGTTAAGATGAGCCATCTGAAGCACCCGTGACACCCATTAGATGCGCCACTCCTATTCTTAGCTCTTATCTGGATTTTGCATATAGGGGTCTATCAATTTCGCCCAATGTCCATTGCGGTAGGCTAAGTGGCCGAGCTCACCCCACCCCTTGCCACTGATCAGCTTGGTACGACTAGGTGTCGGGATGTGCCACCCTGTGAATCTTGGAGGAATGCAAGCCATCTAATCGCGTTAAAATTCCTTTTGGCCACCGTGCGCGCAAAGCTTGATAAAACCCACTAAAAGACCAGCTTACACTAGCAAGTATTTTCTTGTTCCAGGCTGGCCATGAACCTGAGTGCATCAATTGTCGGGATCCCTATCTGACATGGCGTGAGACGTGGCGGCACTCTCACATTCCCTATTTGTTGTTCGTCCTAGCGTCCTTAAACATGCATTCGTCCAGTTCACCCTTTCTGTTAAGATATCAACTTATGTAACGTGATCCTATACAACTGGACCAACCGCATCCTAATGCTCGGAACATCAGTGATAAAGGGAACAGACACCCCACCAAAATACCCCATAACTGTCGGTGTTCTGCGTTGTTATCCGTCCCGCTACCGCTTTCCTTTTTATGGCGAATTATAGACCTGTTGGACACCCTGTTACCTCGACCGCAAACTGGTGCGCCGTCCAATTAAGTGTTGATCTTCCTCAATGCATTATTCTTTGATGTTTCATGTCGGGGGGGGGGGTAGTGCCAGATACTCATCGTAACCCTGTTATGGGACAATGTGTGGTCATTTGCAGACATTATGAGTGCGCTGTGCGCTTAGGAAACGATCACCGGCGTCTGTCCCCCTATTCATTTGTGGAATTCGGTTTGGATTACTACTGATTACAATGTCGACGGTGCATTTTTGCATCGTCGGTAGTTGTGAAATACTTCCACGGATTTAGTTGGATAGCAATCTCACCGACCAGTGCAAGTCGTTTATGAGTCAAGCTGTTGCTATCTATTGCGGCCGTTCGGACAAATTGTGAGCGTCGAGCCCAACGTTTTGTTTTACTTGGCACGCTCTACTTGCGCCGAAAATGGACAGAGTCGGTAGAGATTACATAGGCGCCACTTCAGCTCGAAGTTCTTTACTAATTTCTGTGACGTCCACTCACGGTCTGCCAATGGGTTTACGATCAGAGTCATCGTCAGTCAACACACTTGAATTCGAAGTTTTACCTGTTGCACACTTTCAGGTGCCTAGTGGCTATGTGGTGTGTGTATTGCAACCTTGGATGTAAACTAAAACGCTCGGTCGTATTTCAGGTCAGAGGGTACGTAAGCTTATATCCATTCAAATCGAGTTAAAATGTATACACCCATGCGGGAGCATTTCTAGCACAAAAATGGAAACCAGCCGATCCGTCCACCCGTGATGAGTCAGGGTTCTTCTCTTCGCAGTGCTTTTTCAAAACGAGACTTGTGGAAGTGCATCGAGTCGTTGACCGCTTTTGGTGCCTCACATTCTGCGTATCACACTGAAGCAATGAGGCTAGGGTGGAAGGCAACTGTGCTACTGCAGGTTTAAGCCTTATTTCCTCTAGCGTTTAGATAGCCGCTGAGAGAGGGTCTGACTTTCGAGGGATCATTACAGGAACTGCTCAACAATTCAGAATATTTTGGCACTCCTACTTAGTATGGCTAACCCGCATACGCCAACTTGTATTTGTGCTCGTTGTCTGGAGTATAATGAGTAATGACGATTGTTGAAGGTGCGGTAGGCTTAGGAATTTTTCTAGCTCGATCTTTAAATCCATTTCACTCTGGAGTTTTCATCCGCAATCTAGCGATAGCTGAACAGGTTACCTGCTTTGCGACCAACACAGAAGATGCTCCTCTTTAAGATCGTGTTTCTTCGCTATCTTCCACCAGTTACCAATTGCTTGTATACTTGGTAGACCTTGGATCTCTGGGTTAATCACTGCTATAGTAGAAACGGATAGCGAACTGCTGTCTGTATGGATGTCTGAATCGGAGCTTAGACAAGGGACATAATGACACCATTTTGCTTCGTTATTTTTACCACACTATAAAAATGTATTGTTGTCAAACCACATCACGATTGTCATATTTGTTTGTTCGTACAGTTCCCTTTCATCACAAGACCGACTGACTTTGTGGCTAATGTATATGCGCGGAGCATTTAAATAGACTTACTAGATAGAACATGCATTTCATTCGCTTCCGGTTTCTCTTCTTGCACTAATGATGGGAGTTGGCCATTCTCCGATTCGTTTGGCGCTTGCGACATTACGACTTCTGCAGTACTGTCACGGTAGACCCGTTCTTCACTTTCGGTGTCGTGCTCTTCTATGGTCTGCAACTCGCCGTAACTGACTCCGAGTTCCGATGCCTGATTTTCTTGCTCCTCAACTAGTCTGGCCTCCAATTCAACTATTTCCTGCATCTGTGTAAGTCCTGTATCCGATTCCAATTCAACCGTGCCACTTTCTTCCTCGATCACTCCATCTAGTCCGGTTGAAAAAATGTGGTGCGTGTGAGTGATTGAGTTTTCCTCACATGGATACACGCGGGACAATAGTTCGGGCGGCGGTGGAGGTGGGAACGGTTCGATTTCCTCGCTGCCCTCACTCGCTGATGTGGTGGAGTCCGAGGGCGAGTTCATGCGAGGAGTGTGGGCCGCTTTCACTGTTTCCACACTTGCCTCGTCACAGACCGAGGAACCTCTGGTAGAACCGTCCGTGTTGGATGGGTCAGAATGTTCGGTTGCGTAAATGGCTAGGGCGTTTTCGATTATCTCTGAGAGAAAGTTAATAGCATGAGATCCATCGTATTCACCATCAGATGCCTCTGCGCTCTGGTTGAGTTCACTGAGATGGTTGACGGAAGACAGTTGGGATTTGGTGGGCTAGACACAACAGAAAAAGAGCCGGTGATTCTGATAACCTGAGGTGTGCAGTGAACTCGGTACAAAATGGCACAGTGGCTCGCTTATGGCGCCCAAATATTCACTTTAATGTTCATGTGTTTATGCACTTTTCCTCGATGATACAGCTAGACTGTCTCACCACTGTTCGTCCCGTCCCAGCGTATAATTTGAGCACTTCCATCATCTAACAAAAGAGTAGCCTGTGAACTACGGGAATTTGAAACAACTGCCTACGTGCACCACTTGAATAGAGTGCAGTAGTACTTAGTTTGGCTTTGTGTTGTAAGCGAACCCATGTTTTCGTTCATTCTTCTTCTGGCTAGCATAATTATATACTAATTAAATCAATCAGACAGAATACTGAAGTCCTTAAAAGAGGGTAAAACTACTGTTTAGAAGAGATCAATAATCGCTACTAATCTGATCAACGTCTAGGCCTGCATGCGATCCAACTGAGTAAAGGTTACCGTAAGACCTGAATGAATCGCTTCTGAGTGGAAAGATTTGGTTCGTGCAGTCCAACCGTTTTTACTTCTTGACGCTACGAGATTATCAGCGTCCACTGGTTATGATGGACTACGCATTGGAATCATCCCACTATAAGGGAGATTTCGATCTTAAAGCCGAACCTTTTGCCTACTCCTAGGAGTGTGGGCGAATGCCGGTGGGTGTTTTATTGACTGCTTTTATCCCGTGTGTGTGTGTGTGTGTGTGGATAGGGTTGTACATTAGGTTAGTTGAAATGGTGTACAACAGTGGCAATGGTAAGCAAACGCTTTTGGACTTTCTTGATGAAATTAAACAACTGCACCTTATGTTCAGTGTGGGTCGGGTCTAATATTTTATGGTTAACCGTAGGAATCTGTGGGTATAGCATTTGTGTAATGGGATCATGATAAGTGAGCCCGGATGGAAGCTTGCATATGTGATCTGTTTTTTCATGTGTGCACCTCTTCATCAACACTTCGCTGTGACTTGTGTACCACGGCTGAACTATCGAGAGATGCCCGACTCGGTTGTGTGATGTCAACCATTTTAACCATCAACAAATGGTGTGGTCCGCTCAGTCCTACATATATATATATATATACGGTGAGTTGTTTATCCACCGTGAGAATAAACCTTCCTTGGAGAAATTTGAGCTGGGTGAGACCTTTTGTGGAAATGGGTACTTACTTCCTCTGGAGCCATAAATGCTTTCCTCGTGTCACACGTATCTTCATGGTCAACGCCAACACTCGATGATCCTCTGTCCGGTGACGCATGCGGGGCCGACGATTCACATGTCACGACGTGTTGTAGGATGGCTTCCTGCGGTGCTACACACCACACCTCGTTCGAATGCTCTGCTGACCAAACTGGAGTTGATATGCAGCTGGAAGCCATAAACTTGTGTATCTCCTCTGTGGAGTCAAGCACCAAGCCAGTGTCGCTTGTTTCTTCTTCCTCCTCGCAGATGGCTGCCTCAGCAGTTACGATAACCTATAGGCGGAACAAGATGTTGGATGCGATGTTAGCGATTGCTATACTTATTAATAAGGTATAAACCTATGTGATGAGAAACTCTTTTAACTAAAACTGTGCCCCCATTTTGGTGCTTTACCTATTTAACCGAAAATTGCTTACCTTAGCTCAATCCCTATCTCGAAGGAAGCAATCTTTTTGAAGTATCCAGATGATGTGATCCTGGGCGTCTAACCTCAGACCCACCGCCTAAACTACAAACGTGCTTGCACAACCTCACAGCTTTGTCGAAATCCTGTCTCTGAACTTTTAAAAATGCAAAGACATTTGTTTTTCACATTTTAAGAAAAATCGTTACCATCAACTCGCTACATATTATCCACTGTTTCGCATTGTCAATGCAGTATTTGGTCGAAAGGGTGTTCGAAAGTTGGCACAAGTTCCGCACCAAATTGCCATCAGAAATACGTCTGAAGGCGGTCGAAGCCAGGCCACCATTGGCTGAGGGAACGCAAAATCAACCAGAAGTCGCTAGCCCCGCTGTCTGTATTTCTGAACAGGAGCCGTCCGATGAGGAAGGAAAAGAAAACCCGACTCAATTCGCCTCCGAAGGATTAGGTAGTGGGTGCTCTATGCAACTGATCGAAACGGCCCTTTGGGTAGGGAAGAAATACATTAAAAACGATCCCCAGCCGGCCCCACAAGGGTCGACTTAGATTCACTGGTAACGTTTGTGTGTTCAGTTACGCTTCTGGCATCCGATGCTCTATATTGTTTGTATACAAACGCACAAGACCTCATTAAACTGCCCGAGCTTCGATCTTATCAAACTTCAATGTGTTTGGATCTCATCATGATAACCGAGACATGGCTGAACGATGTGATTACCGACGTTGAGATCGCACTGCCTGGTATGTCACTTGCGCAACGACGCACCCACAAAGAGAGGAGATGTAATCCTTTACTGTCAGTCCGACCTACTCATCGATCGCGTACATGACACTTGGATTCAAACCTTGGACGCTTTATGGTGTTGCCTACACGTAAGAGATGGCGATACATGCTTAGTGGACATTGTATACCGCCCACCAATGTCCACTTTAGAAATGGACCTGATCTTAGCCACTGCCATGAAAAACCTACTTGCACAATCTTACAGCCACGTTCTCGTGGTAGGGGACTTCAATCTGCACTGCCTAGAAACCGGCCACGCTCGGTGAGCAATTCAAGGTGGAACTGCAAGACCTAATCGGTGATTTATCGCTGTACAACCATGTCACTTCCCCAACGCGTTTCAGGATAGAAACCAGCCATCTTGGACCTCGTTTTTAATAACGAGGAACTCATGATCGACGTAATAACAACGTGCACTCCTTTGGGCCGCAGCGATCATGCGACACTAGTGTTCCATTACATGTGCTACGCGGAGTATCCTAAAGAGCATGCCGAGGAATCTCACGTCGTAACCAACTATGATGACCTGTCCGACCTCATTGGTGCAACAAGCTGGTCGTTCCTAGCCGAATGGTCCCCTGAGGTGGCCTGCGGAGAATTCGTCAACAGATTCAACAAGCTCGTGGCAAGCACATCTGAAACCAAAATCCACCGACCTAAAAAGGTGAAGTCTTTCGTAAGGAGCAGGACACGTAAATGCATGGCATTGAGGGACTTGGCATGGCTCACCTACATAGCCTCTCCGAGCGAGGACACCTGGGATGTCTACACAACACAAAGGAACCACTGTGTCAAACTCGTCCGGGAGGATAAAGTAAAGAACCAACAAGACCTAGTGGAAAAATTTTGCTCTAATCCCAAGCTGCTATACAGACACGTAAACAAACTGCGCCGGGTTAAGCGCGGAATTCCTGCTCTGCACACAGCATGCGGGTTAGCACAAACGGCACAAGAGGCGGCCAACGTTCTTGGACAACAATTTGGCCGTACCTTCCAAAGCGTGCAATCATCTTACATCCTGCCTACGCAGATCATGCCGCCATCAGGACTTAATCACATATCGTTTACCTCCACAGCTGTACTGAAGAGGCTGATGTCCTTGCGCGAGTTCAGCTCCCTGGTGCGGACGGCATTCGCCCGAAGGCATTGAAAGTTGCCGCCATGAGTTTAGCGGAACCGCTAGCAATTCTCTTTCAGCGATGTCTTAACGAGATGCACGTCCCCACGATGTGGAAGCACGGGATCATCACTCCAATCTACAAAAGTGGTAGCCGTGCTGAACCAGCAAATTATCGCCCGATAACACTACTTCCGGTGATCTCCAAGGTTATGGAGTCCATTGTAGCTGAGGCTTTAATGGGGTACCTGGAGAACAACAAACTTCTCGTTCCGAAGTAGCACGGATTTCGCCAAAATCCGTACTGTACTACTAGCCTAATAATCGCTTGGGCATGCTGGACGGAATCTGTGGATGCAGATGTCGATGTGGCCTACCTAGATTTCTCAAACGCATTCGACCGTCTAGACCCTCGCATTCTACTGCACAAACTCCAGTAATATGGAATCGGCGATCCTGTTCTGGGCTTGATGGGAGACCTCGTTCAACGTCATCTGAATGTGTGGGTTCGCAGCACCCTATCGGAACCAATAGAAGTTCAGTGCGGCGTACCTCATGGGCTCGGTACTCGGGTCCCGCTTGTTCCTGATCTTCATAAACCATCTTGCGAACGTGTTATCTTCAAACTGTCTGCATTTTGCCGATGATCTAAAGATATGGCGTGGTATTGCTACAGTAGAGGGCCACACAGACTTACAGGATGACCTGGACAAGGCGTATGCCTGGTGCATCGAGAACATACTGCATTTCAACGCCACCAGGTGCAAAGTTCTCAGCATACGGCATCAAAGTATTCACAAATACCGCCTAGGACTACAAATACTACGGCGGGCTTCTCATGAGTGCGATCTCGGCGTACTTGTTCAAGATGGCCTCGGTTGTTTGAGCCAGGCTGACAAGGCATCAAAGAAAACAAGCTCGCACTTCCGCTTTCTTCGTAGAGCGTTCGGGAATTTTGACGACTCAGTTTTTCCGAAAATGCTTGGCGCGTACGTGAGGCTACGTGCAGAATACGCTATTCCAGCGTGGCAACCCTGGCTGAAGCACCACCTCACCGCGCTCGATACTGCACAATGCAGGGCGACAAACAATGTCAGAGGTTTGTCTCACCTTCCCTACCCACTCCGGCTGAAAACCCTCCAGCGGACGTTATCGGCGTCTAAGGGGCAATTTCATAATGGTGTGTCAGATCCTGAGAAATCCCAACCACACATGGCATTCTCTGTTGAAACTCAGTCAAAACACATCATTAAGGAATCAACAGTTTAAGCTGTTCAGGCAGTACAGCCGACTGCGATGTCGACGAAACTTTCTCCCTCCGAGTGTCAGCCACAGAACGTTCTCCCGGCACATGTAATTAATGCCCACACCTTATCCCTTTTCATAAAACGCCTTGACGATACTCTGACACATTTACACTACGTGATATAGCCCATGACCATGGCATTAATGCACAACAAACAGTGGACGGTGTCATAACCCTACTCGCACATGAGTTACTCCAAACCCCTTGGTGAGTCATGTATTTCACGCGTTCTTTTATTGACACTGTTTTTTTCATTTTTTTGTAATTAGCACACTAACTATCCTACGGGACATGTCAATCATTCTCTTTTATGCCCGTCATATACCACTGCTCCATTGCACCGTGGTCCTTTCACGTTGAAATATTCCACGAAATCAGGAGAATATCGTTCTATGGTTTTTCGTTTCAGGTCTTTCTCCGTATCCCGCTGTGTGTCCCACCCCATTGAACGTAATACTCACCATGATTTTCCCTGGCCTTTCAAGTAAGCATCTCAAAGTCTTTGTCAGACCAGTGAACTAGTTAGCTCGATGTAACAACCTTCAAATGCCGGCTCTTGTTGACACATTGTATTCGATCGTGTTAATCCCTACGAAAAGTTCGCGTTCAATGCTACGCATCTACATATAGTGCATTGTCAAGTCAAAAATGTGCACTTTGCGCCCATAAAGGGTGAATATGCAGCCCTGGATTTATATCAATCTCTTCGACTAGACACATACAAAACCATTTGCTCGCACGTTTGTCATTCATTTGTCGCGTTTTTACTGATCAATAACTAGTTGGCAACTGGTTCAGTCAAGTCTTCTTTAAGAACTGTTTTACAATTATTTGATTCCAATACTTTCCACTCGCTTTCCCCGTCATTGACGTGTGCTACATCCGAAAGTTCACTTCATGGGTGCATTCATGACTTGACTTGGACTACAGTCCGTTGAATGCACAGCCTCTCTTGTCTCTCCTGCAGGTGTGTGACCAATCACCACTCGATAAACTCTATGCTCGCGCCCACACTATTCCCGCGGCGTCATAAAACAACCAACCGATATTCCTCATCAATCGTCACAACCAAGTCTTGTGGACTAAAAACAACGTGTTCAGTGCGAACAGACTAATTGACTCATCAGCTACGACGTAGTCGAAGACGACAAGTTACTGCGTGTATATTACCCCAACACTAACGCTTCGAACGTCCCCCACTCTTCACCACGCGCAGGGGCGTGGAGTACGCATCACTTGAGCACACTTGCACATGTACACTACAATTTGACTTCGATGGTAAGTTACAAACATGGTTTCAGGCTTCTGTCTGGACCGGGCCTCGCGTGAACTATGAGGCATGTAGTGCATTCTGTCTCACACCCAGCGTGTTGAACCTGTGTTGACAGTTACGCGGACCATATCACCTGAGCCTAACCTAACGAGTTTCGCAGGGGTGCTTACTCTATAGCCATTATGGCTCGAACACACTGTGTCTACCTTGCAGCAAGGTGACATAGTCTAGTGACACCGACTGAAGCTTCGGGGTGGCAGCTTTCAAAGGCTGCCTCTGCTTGAATAATTGAATTTACTTGATTGAATTTTTGAGTGCCACAGTGTGTTCGGAACGCAGCTTCTGTCCCTACCTAAAGGTTCCAAACG